AATTCCCCCCAGAAAAAGTCACATTTCTGACAAGACCTGTTTCTGAAAATCCCCTAGCGGCTGTCAACTGCCAGTTTGTCCTGGGGCCCCAGACACCTTCTTCCATTGTGTGTGCCTCAGACATAGCTTTCCCAGGCTCTCTCCCACTGGCTCTCAGCGGGTTCCTTCAATTTGCAGGCACTGGTGCGAGGCTGGCGGACAGGAAAAAGGAAAAACTCGAGTATTTGTTTTTCTTCCTGCTTCTTGCAACATTTTCTGCTAATGGCTTTGTCTTCCCTGTGGTTCCAACTCTTCGACAGCTCCCCTTTCCATCTTCTCAGATACCCCAGCAACATCACCCAGGATGGCTACTGGTTCTAACTTCCACCAATGGGCCCAGTGCCTGGCACCAGCAATACCACCTCTTCCCTCTGTCCCTTCAACTGCAGGACTGGTAACAGCTTCTTGCAGCTCTTAACCTCTGCATTTATTTTCTCAACAAACATTCAGCCAGCCATTGTTTTATAGCTTTTCTACACCCAGGTAAATAATCCCTATACTACATCCCTCTGTTAAAATACCTAGAAGATTTTTTTGTTTTCCTAGCTGGAATGTGTTTGAGAGATTCAGTCACCAATCATTTCATCCTATTTTGCTTCCTTAAAAGAATTTATTGCTACCTAAAAATGTCCTGTGTGTATGTTTTGCTTACTTTTCTATCAACCATCAAGCCCCCCAAAAATGTCCTGAAAGGAAACATTTTGGTATTTAGATCACTGCTGCATCCCAAGTGCCTAGTGGGAGGTATTGTATCTGTGCCAAATGAATAGAAATCTGTGCGTCAGCTAAGGTGGCCTCCAATTAAAACACAAAATAAGGTGGATTAAAGGGTGGACAGTGGACCAGATGGATAGATATGCTGTAAGCAAACATTGTAAAATATTAACTGCTGAATCTAGGGGCTGCTATTTGGAGGTTCAACGAGCAATCCTAGCAGCTCTGTCACTACCTGAATAGGAGGCAGCTGGTGCGCTGAGAAGCTGAGACCGCTGGGCTGGAGCCCCAGGCCTGCATGAGCTCACGGGGGTTACTGAGAGAAGTCACATAACCCCTCTGAGGTTCAGTTTGTTTTCTCTGTGTTCAATGGGATTTCATATTCTCTCCACCCATCAGGAACACTCCATGAGACAACTTAAATGTGCCCTTAACCTTTGACTTCGTTTTGATGGGACCAGGCATGGAGTTCATTTGCTCTGCACTTTCACTAATTGAGACTGATCTTCCTCTCCTTTGGCCATTATGTATATCAGTAAGGATTCCTTTAGTTGCATTTAAATGTAAAGCACACAGTCACTGCTGGAAAGGCTGGGAGTAGACTGGCTTCAGGCTCAGATGGATTCACGTGCAAACAATGGCACCAAGATGCCTCTTCATTCATTTCTCAGTCTTGCTTTCCATGGTGTGGCTCTGTTAAAGTTCCACATGGTGACAAGAACATCATCTTGTAAACAACATTGTTCAGTCCATCAGTAACTGGTTAGGGTTCCTTTTCCAGTGGGTCAGTGTCTCCAGTGGGTCGGTGTCATCCCTCACCCTATCACTGGCCTGGGGGAAGAATGTATTGAGCTCCCAGCTTGTGCCAGGAAGCCTCCTACTGAGGTCTAAAAAAACTCAGTTTTTCCTGAAGTACAAAGCTGGGTGGTAAAGGACTGGTGGTGTTTTTCCATAGCATTCTTAGATGCTGCGGAAAAACAGGATGGGAAGGGCAAAGGAAGGCTGAGCAGAAAAAAATCAACAATTGTTCATTCTCAAACCCAAACAAAATAGAAAATAACAATATAATATGACTTATTCAACTCAGTCATCTTGTTAAAAAAGAGAAACCAAGAGTGCCCGCAGAGTGTGCCAGATATTTAAGCAATTATTCTGGAGAAAAAAGTTACTACTGGAATTGACTCTTTTTTAAAAAAAACATTGTAAGATTAGACCATCTGAACCCAGTGCCACCAATTTGTATCCTTTGTAGGGACATGAATGAATCTGGAAACCATCATTCTCAGCAAACTGACACAAGAACAGAAAATCAAGCACCGCATGTTCTCACTCATAGGAGAGTATTGAACGATGAGAACACATGGACACAGGGAGGGAAGCATCATACACTGGGGTCTGTTGGGGGGTGTCTAGGGGAGCGACAGTGGGGGGTGGGGAGTTGTGGAGGGATAACATGGGGAGAAATGCCAGATATAGATGATGGGGGGATGGAGGCAGCAAACCACATTGCCACGTATATACCTATGCAACAATCCTGCATGATCTGCACATGTACCCCAGAACCTAAAGTACAGTTTAAAAAAATGAAATTAACACAGAAAATCAACATAACAAATCCAGATCTCTGGCTTTTATTTAAAAATGTAAAAGCATCTGGAAACTGGGACATACATTTCTCCTGGCACTAATTGGATGGCTCTCAGTGGCTGCTGAGCCCATTACATGGGGCCTCTGTCCTAAGGTTTTCCACAGTCCCCACCATTCCCTCCTGCCCCATGTCTAGGCTGCTTCACTATTGAAAAATGGTAAAATTTATTGAAAAAATGGTAAAATACAAGTCATCCAAGATACCTTGGGGAAGCCAGTATCTTGTAAGGAATGGCTCACAAAAACTAGAAAGACAGAACCATCATGTTGCTTATTTCTTGTGAAAAGACTTCTGCTATGGACTGAACTGTGTTCCCAAAATTCATATGCTGAAGCCCTAACATCCAGTCTGGCTGAATCTGGAGTAAGGAAGTAATTAAGGTTGAAGTAGGTGATAGTGATGGAGCCCTTGCGTGGTCTAATAGGATCCTTATAGGGAGATAGAGCAGAAGGCTCACTGTTTCTCTCTGCCACATGAAGACACTCTGAGAAGGTGATTGTCTGAGGGCTGGGAAGACATCCCTGGAGCTAATCAGCAGGCACTTTGCTCTTGGGCTTCCTGTCTCCAGAATTGTGGAAAAAAAAAATTTAAGCCACCCAGTCTATGGTATTTTATGGCAGTGCCAGAAGACTAATGCAACTACCTTAAGAAAATTAAGACTGTTTAAAAATGACCATAACCCTTGTTTATATATATATATATATATATATATATATATATATATATATATATACATATTTTTTTTTTTTTTTTTTTGAGCTGGAGTTCGGCTCTGTTGCCCTGTCTGGAGTGCAGTGGCATGATCTCAGCTCACTGCAACCTCCACCTCCCAGGTTCAAGCAATTCTCCTGCCTCAGCCTCTTGAGTAGCTGGGACTACAGGCATGTGCCACCATGCCTGGCTAAGTTTTGTATTTTTAGTAGAGATGGGGTTTCAACGTATTGGCCAGGCTGGTCTTGAACTCCTGACCTTGTGATCCGCCTGCCTCAGCCTTCCAAAGTGCTGAGATTACATTGTTTATGTATTAATGGATGCCTCATGAGAGTTGAAACAGTGTCAGCTCGGGAGCTTAACTGTCACTCCTGCCACCTTTTTCATGGTATTATATTACTGTTATATTATGTTTAACTTATGGTACAAAAAACGGATGTATCATTTCTATCAGAACTAATTATGTAAAGGCCCTTATTACACATATGACACAGCCAATATATATCCAAAGTGGAAGATACAGTTTTATCCCTAGGAATAAATAATTTAGTTGGAAAGGGAAGATGTATGCTCACAACAAACACTGGTGCATAAATGAAAATACATAATGCAGTGCTGAAAGTGCTCTGTCGCTTTAACTATTGTCAGAGTTCAGGAAAAGAAAAGATCAATGCGTTTGAAACAATGACACATATGTAATGAAATTCATCTTAACTACTAACTGCTAACTATACATCAAGCATGAGTTAAGTACTTGGCATCTACTCAGATAGGAGGTTAAGAAGTTTGCCGGCTGGCACTAACAACAGGTGGTTAGAATTTGAACTCAGGCTCAGAGGCTGTGCTCAGATGAACTGTTTCCTTCTTGGTACTTTAACCAGCTGCAGGCTGTATGCAAATTTCCCTTGGAGCTGACGGCCGGTAAAAGTCACAGGCTCTGTCATGTCCTTCTCGTGGATCCCCTAGTAGACGGTCCTGGTTAGTACCCAAAGTAGGCATCATCATTGTTTTAATTAATAATATGTCATGAAATTTTTGTGGAATAAAACCTATAAAGAAGAACTCAATGTAATTCCAGCTACTCAGGAGGCTGAGGCAGAGAATTGCTTGAACCCGGGAGGTGGGGGTCACAGTGAGCCGAGATCGTGCTGCTGCACTCCAGCCTGGGCTACAGAGCAAGACTCCCATCTCAAGAGAAAAACAGAAACGCAAGGAATATTTGTTATCCCAAAAGCCTTAGAAATCTCCAACCCAAAGTCACAATAAGAACAGTTGGAACAAGCGCCTTGGAGGAAACTGAAAGAGCAAGACTCTATCCCTTATTCCCCAAACCCAGTCAAGGACTTACTTTGTGCCAGATCTTAACTACTTGCTGAGGATGTGGAAATGTACAAGGAAGGCATGACTTCTGGTCAGCTGATGTGGTGGAGAAGACAAACCCAAAAATCAAAGGCCGTGTGTAATGCACTGTAGTGTGCACATGTGTGCATTGCATATGGAAAGTCAGCCTGGGAGGGAGGAACCTCCATCCTTCCTCTGGTAAAGCACACATCTGAGCTGGTTTGGAAGGATAAGAAGAAGTGAATGGGAGACGCATGAGTGTCTCCTGGGGACAGACAGATAAACTCCACATGCAGGAGTATGGAGGGCAAAAAGATTAGTAACAAGCAAAAGCAAGTGACTTTTTATGGAGAACAGAGTTGCAACAGTACCAGAACCTGGCATCTGGTGGTTCTTCCTGTCCAATATCCACACTTCTCTCTGAAGTCATCCCTTAAACCCCACTCTTTTCTCATTTTTGGTCCCTGTGGTCTGGGTGGGATGAACCCCATCCCAACTCTAGTTCCAAGAGTGGTCATAATGCCTGCAGTCATGACCTCACCGTGTTCCATGCACCTGGAGCCTGGATACAGTGATCACAGGCACCTCAGGAACAGCTCTCCAGCCCCAGGACTTCTGCCGGAACTGCTGGAAGTTAGAAGCTTTCTTCCTACTGAGGGGCAACCTTCTAGGTATCTGAAGATGTTGAAGACCATTTCCTGGAACCACAGCGGTAAGTGTCCAGAGGATGAGAAGACATAGCCGCTAGGAGAGTCTGAGAGTTCAGTATGATTGAAAGATTAAGTTCAAGAGAAGGGACAAGCTGCAAATCACAAGCTGGAGAGTTTTAGGTAAGAGTCATATCACAAAAGTCAGTAAGCATTTTAAAATGCTTAGCCTTTAACCGAAGAGTAATGGAAAGGCACTGACATGACCTATCACAAATGAGAAGATTTGAGTTCATATTATCTCTCTACAGTGATGGAGAATGGACTGGAAGCAGGCGGGGACAAGGACAGGAAACCCTTCTGGGGCTGGCTAGAGTGACTCTGTAAGAATAACCGTGAAGATAGAAAGAAGTAGATGGTTGCCAAAGATACCTGTGGAATACAAAGGTACCATATCAAACCATACATGGAGCTGAATCTCAGAAGCAAGCTCCGAGCTAGGGAGAGAGAGTTAGAAGCCTTCAGCAGAGACGATAATTTAAGCCTCAGGAGTGGATGAAATTTCCCAGAGAACGTGCATAACGAGAAGAGAACCTGGAACAGCAGGGGCCAACTTTTAGGATGTGTCAGACAAGGAGCCCAAGACTGAGAAGTGTTAGTCCAAACTGCACCATTTTGTAAGCTCCCTGCCATTTTTCAGACCTTGGTCAAAGTGAAACATTCCACGAGGGTTCGTTCGGACTGTGAGAATCCGCCGGCCCAATCGCCTGACTTTATCACATTCTGCTAAGAAAACGTCCAAAAAACATCACCATCACATTCTGCGGGAGCAAGGCCCAAACCGCCTCATCACGGGAACGTCTTATCAACATCTTCCCTGTCAGCAAGCCACACTGCTCAGACCCCTCCTGCCCATGCCAGTAAGCGGCCATGGGCACTGGCATTAAGCCGGCCCTCCACCTCCACAGGTTCATGCTGGACATAAATGTCTGCATTTGCTGTTGAGCTGCCCTCTCTCTCTCTCTCTCTCTCTCTCTGTGTGTGTGTGTGTGTGTGTGTGTGTGTCTTTAACCCTCGCCTTCCCTTTGAAACCTAATAAGAAGGAGGAGCCAGGAAGGCAGGGGGAAGCCAGAAACCCAACATGTTAAGAGCAGCCAAAGGAATAGTGTAGAACAATGATTCTCAAAGTGAGCTCCAGAAACTCGTGGAGCTCCCACGACCCTTGTAGGAGGTCCACACCAGCCAAAATGTCTCTATATGGGAACTAGGGTGTTATTTGTCGATTTCATTCTCATGATCACATGAATGCAGAAAGGAGGTTACCATAAAGGCTCCTGGAAAGCTGAGATTGCAATGACTGGAGAAAAACATCTGAAATTACTCCCTTTTAATTTTTAATAAATATCAACGTTTATAAGCAAAATTGCTTTCGCGGTGGAGTGGTTCTCAACCATGTAAGGTTAAACAGAACCTGTGATCACAGTGTGAGAAGCACAGCCATATGGAGCTTCACAGAGGGCATCTTAACGTCAAATGTTACTGAAGCCTCAAGGGAACTAACCAATCAGAAGCAGCCACCAACTTTAGTAACGGACTTGATTCTCTTGGTGAAAGCAGTTCAGTGTCGTGGTGGCAGAGACACAGCACAGTGGCTGAGAGTGTGCAGGAGCTGTGGACGTTGAATCATGTATGAAGGAACCACTCTTTCTGTGAGTATCCAAACCAACTCATGGTAGCACGAACGCATTTCCTCTTCTACTACCCTTGGTAGAAAAGGAATGGCTACCACCAAGGCCATTAACTGGACATTTCTGCATCACTGGGAGCTGAGTGCCACGAGGTCTTTAGTTCTATTCAGCCACCCCCTTTCCAAAGCCTAAACCTGAAGCGCCTCGGCAAATTGCCATTACGATGTTTGCCACACGGGTAGTCATGGCAACGGTATGTCAGCCTGTGCTCTGTTTTCAGCCTTTTGTTGTTAACAGGTCAGTAAGGAGGGCAGGGAGGCTCTTCTGCAGAATCTTAAATGGGTTTGCTGAAGCAAAGTCCAAAACACAAGGACACATCTGAGTGATCCTGATGGCTTAAGCAAATTACCGTCCTCTGCGTCACCCTTTGGACTTAATCTTTGACCAGGCCAAGGGTGGTTATGTGTGCAGAAAGGATATAGCAGGCCTGAGGCTGCTGTCCTTAGAAAGATCTGCTTATAAGGTGGTTCTGTGCAGGCTCTCTGGAAACTTGGATTTTGTGAGAGTTTCCAGCATTTCCGAACTAAGAAGAGTGGTACGCTGTGATAAAACTCTCCGTACAAAAAACAGTTTATGCTGAACATTTGCTTTCTTGTTAGGAGTTTTGGATTTGGGTAATGATAGCAGAAAGTATCTAGGCAACCAAGCCTCAGCAAAGAGCCTGGGTGCTGCATTTATTTATTTATTTCCCTCTCCTTTTCTTTCTTTCCCTTTTTTCCTTCCTTCCTTCCTTCCTTCCTTCCTTCCTTCCTTCCTTCCTTCCTCCCTTCCTCCCTCCCTCCCTCCCTTCCTCTCTCCCTCTCTTTCTTTCTTTCTTTCTTTCTTTCTTTCTTTCTTTCTTTCTTTCTTTCTTTCTCTCTCTCTTTCTCTTCTTTCTTCGCAGAGTCTCACTCTATCACCCAGACTAGAGTCCAGTGGCACAATCTTGGCCCACTGCAACCTTCACCTCCCAGTTCAAGTGATTCTCCTGCCTCAGCCGCCCCAGTAGCTGGGATTACAGGCACCTGGCACCACGCCTACCTAATTTTTTTTTTTTTCTTAGAGACAGGGTTTTGCCCTGTTGGCCCGGCTGGTCTCAAACTCCTGATCTCAGGTGATCCACCCACCTTGGGTTCCCAAAATGCTAGGATTACAGGCGTGAGCCACTGCGCCTGGTCTAGTGATGCATTTCTAATGCGCTTCCCTGATAGACATTTCACGATGCTGTTACCATAGGATGCAAAAGCTGGCACCTCTGGACGACCGCAGTGGGCGGGGATTCCTGGAAGCTTGTGCCCTGCATCTATAGACTTTGCTCTGTGAGCCTTTTCCCTTTGCTGATTTCGCTTTACATCTTTTGTCGTGATAATTCTCAGCTGCAAGGAAGCCTGTGTGCCGAATCCCTTGAGTTCTTACAGAGAGTAAGTGAATCTGGGGGTAGTTTTGGGGACCCTGCAACACAGTCCATCACCAAGTATAGGCCAATGCAAGAGTGACCTTCAGAACGTGTGCAGGAACTACGGAGGAGTATTTCTTACACTCAGTGGATTCTGTAAGGATAGGAGGACTGGGGATGTAAAAGCCATGCTGCCACCACCAGTGAAGAGCCCAGAGGTGCCAGGTGTCCAGTTCTGAAGCTGGGAGAGGAAAGCAACACCACGGGAACCACTGTGAAATGACATTCCCGTACCTGCACAGCGCCCATTACACGAGGCGTTCGGAAAAACAGTCCACGGAAGCCCACGAAGTCTCATGCCTTAGGTTTAAAAAAAAAATGTTTCTGGCCAGATGCGGTGGTTCATCTCTGTAATCCCAGCACTTTGGAGGCTGAGGGATGTGGATCACATTTGGTCAGGAGTTCAAGACCAGCCTGGCTAACATGGTGAAACCCCATCTCTACTTACAATAAAAAAATTAGTCAGAGGAGACTGAGGCAGGTGAATTGCCTGAACCCAGGAGGCGGAGGTTGCGATGAGGCGAGATCAAGCCACTGCACTCCAGCCTGGGTAACAAGAGAGAAACTCCGTCTCAAAAAAAAAAAAAAAATTAGGCATGGTGGCACATGCCTGTAATCCCAGCTACTCAGGAGGCTGAGGCAGGGGAATCACTTGAACTTGGGAGACTGAGGTTGCAGTGGGCCGTGATCGTGCCGTTGCACTCTAGCCTCGGTGACAAAGGAAGACTCAGTCTCAAGAAAAAAATTAAACAAACAACAACAACAACAAAACCTCTACCTTCAGAGAGGGAAGGATACACCATGGAGCCTCAAATCCTTAAAAAGCAAGAAGAAAAGTGATGAACATATTTTGTAAAAATTGACCAACTACAGACAAGATAATGAAGACATCTGTCTTTCTTGAATTATTTTGTAAAGACTGGAATAGCTAAACAATAACTTTCCAGTGACAAAATGGGTTACATCACTAGTCCTACCATTCATTTCATACTTTTTATGTGGATATTTTGACACATACTTATTATAGCTTCTCCAGTTTTGCCAGAGATCCACTCAGTAACCCCACTCTGAATTCCTTCCTGTACCCAAAGACAGAAATGAAAGAACCTGGCTCATTAATTTGAAAAAGTAAACAAACCTATTCCTTTTCCTAGCTGAGTTTTCCATAAAATTCCTCAGTGGAATCTGTCCTCCATGCTATCCTACCCCAACAGCTAAGATTAAACTGGTAAGACCTGTCTCTTTCAAGGACACAGACAATCCTTGTTACAACATTCCACTTCCTTATCTCTGATGACTACACCAATCTTTATGGTAGAAAGCAGTTAAATGTCCTCAGCAATAATAAGAATGCATCTTATGGGACCATGTAAAGGTTACCAGTAGCTCCAATGTAATCAATATAAATTTGAATTGGGCCAGCAACTTATCACTCCTATATATGCATGTACACACACACACATGCACACACGTAAAGTCAATATTCACTATTGACAGATTCCATATTTGCAAATTTACCCCTCACTCACCCTTATTTTTAATCCCCAAATCAATACTCGTGGGACATCTAAAGTCTTTTTTGTACATGGACAGAGAAGTAAAAAATATGAATCATCCAACCTGAGGCCCAAAAAGGCAGTGCCCTCCACTCCTGTCCAGCTCTGTAAGCAAAGGTCCTTCTGCGGTCTACTCAGTTCCATGCTTTTCCTATTTTTGTGTGTTTTCAGAGTATCTTTGCTGTTTGAAACAGCCTGCAAATTTGGTACTGAAGTGCCGTGTAGTTAATTCCTAAGCACAGGGAAGTCGTTGTGTGCCTTATGGAGAAAATACGTGTGTTAGATAAACATTGCTCAGGTATGAGCTATGCAGTACTGTCAGCTGTGAATTCAATGTTATTATTCAATAATTTATATTAAGTAAGGTGTCTTTATACAGAAGTACACATAAAGTTATATACTGACCAGTTGATGAAAACTTTGTCAACAAAGACTAAGAGAAACCTATCTCTGCAGTTTCCCTAAAAGCAATGGTTCAGTATGTGTTAATTCATCAGAATATAACAGCTATGAATAATAGAAATTGTGCATATGATATATACACACATACACACACAAATAGACACACACGTTTGTGTGTGTGTGCAGATCGTCAGGGGGGATTAGAACTATCAATTTGAGAGAAGGAAATTAACCAAATTAAGAATGTTTCTTACTCTGATTTTTTTTTTCACAGAGAGATTGTGGAATGGAATGACTCTCTAGAGTTGCAGATTGAAGGTGTATTTTCATCTGACTTCGGTGATTGTGTGTCTAATCTCTGTGGGAATAAGGTGTGCTTGGGGTAGGGATGGGCAGAGGTAGAACTCGCCGAACCGCCCAGTCACATGGAGTTACATCTTATTTAAAACTCAGCCATTGCCACCCGCCTCAGGGAATCTCTGGCTTCAGTTTGAGTGTTCAGTGAAGCCTTACACAAGAAGGGCTCAATCTCTAAAGTCTACATCGAAGCTGAATCCACCCAGCATCAGATTATTCCTGAAAAGCCTCTTTAAATCGAAACCTCCCATAAAGATGGTGAAGCTCTGTATTGTGATATAGTTGGTATGGGTGGCTTTTCCTTGAGCACTGCGACAGATTTGTAAAACAGTTACACACACACACACACACACACACACACACATCCCCCACAGAGCACCCTGTCTCTAAAGACAAGAATGACAAGAGAAAAATCTCAAAGAAAGGAATCAACAGAGTTGCTCTGAGACTCACATGGCTGGGCACAGACACACTGAGTGGGTGCACGGGCTGAGGTGTCTGGTTTTCCCCATTGGACACCATGGTGTCTACCACACTGGGATGGACGCATACACAGTGACTGTGGAAGCTAAATGTATACAGTCCTAAAGCAAGATCAGTTGTGTGGAGGAGAGGATAATTGTAAACTTCTTTATTTGTTGGCTGTTAAGTATTTGAATAAGAATATGAGAATGCCCAACATTTTAAGCAACCTGATGTGTAAGATGTCTTCTGGCTTGTCAATAAGAAAGTCCATGATAACAATGACTGTGGAAGCAAGGGCAAGAATGATAAAGGACTCAGCTTCCTGAGCACGTGTGATGTGCCAGACGCGAATATGTGAACTTCCAGTATGTGTAATGTGCCAGATGCGGATATGTGAGCTTCCTGAGCACGTGTGATGTGCCAGACGCGAATATGTGAACTTCCAGTATGTGTAATGTGCCAGATGCGGATATGTGAGCTTCCTGAGCACGTGTGATGTGCCAGACGCGAATATGTGAACTTCCAGTATGTGTAATGTGCCAGATGCGGATATGTGAGCTTCCTGAGCACGTGTGATGTGCCAGACGTGGATATGTGAGCTTCCTGAGCATGTGTGATGTGCCAAATGCAGATATGTGAATTTCCTGAGCACGTGTGATGTGCCAGACGCCGATATGTGAGCTTCCTGAGCACGTGTGACATGCTAGACGCGGGTATGCGGGCTTCCTGAGCACGTGTGACGTGCCAGACACGGATAGTGAGCTTCCTGAGCACGTGTGACGTGCCAGACGCAGGTATGCGAGCTTTCCATTTCTTACTTCACATACGTCTCACCACAATGCTGTCATGTAATCGATTACTGGCCCCATTTTACAGGCAAGAAAAATGAGATGCAGAGACAGGAAGCCACCCATCCCACAGCGCACAGCGAGGGCGTGGTGAAGGCAGAATTTACAGGTGGGCTTTCTGGTTCCAGGGCCTATGCTTTTAATAACTGCACTAAAACAAACATCGTGATGATGGCACCGTTTGCAGGAAGCATATCCTGATAATAAAGACAACAAAGGGGGAAGTGGAGTAAGAAATAAAAATAAAATTGTCAGACCCTCAACTCTGCTAAGAAACGTATGTAAATAGAAAGCTTTGGGAAGCCTGCTGCCACATTTATTGCAGCTTTTATGGCCTGGAGAACGCTGCCTACTGTATTATTTTCTATATAAATGATGCTTCATAGTTTGAGAGTTTTTCACCCTTTTGGAAATATAATTAAAGCTGTGGAGCCTATCCAGAGGAAGAAAACACGCACAACCACAACATTTCAGAAAAATAAATTAAGAGAAAATTGATGCCGTAATACATATCAGTGAACCGCTGGAATCTCAGCCTCCAGGGGAATTATTTCTGCTCTACAACTATTCATGATTTTTTCTTTCAGACCTCTATGGTAGGAACACCTTCATGGTCCCTTTATAGCTGGTGTGTTTTCTTCTCATGGCCAATGAGAAGCATGTAATAAATTGTTTCCTTTCTGCCAGGAAACTCTGAGTTAAAGCTTTACTTCCCTCTCAGGAACTATCAAAGAGGCATAAGCCCTACACCCTGGTCCAACATTTCCCTTGGATTTGATTCCCTTTCGACCATTTTAGCCCTATTTTACATGTGTTACATCTATTTCTCTGTGCTGTCACATGTATTATCAAATGCTATTTCGGATGTCAACCATGAGCTAAAGTACATCTTGGAATTATTAGAGAAACAGAGGGATATGATTATATAAAGTAACACATACAAATGCAATGCTGATTTTTTTTCCTTAAGAAGTTTTTGACAATTGCGTGGAAGGAATCTGCTTTTCACTGAAGTTTCAATGTTTTCAGATCCTTTAATACCAGCTGTGAAACTTACTTACTAGGATGAATTATAGAAAGTTTTACCACTTTCCTCTGACTCATTTATTCTCGTTGTAAATATGAGAATTAAAACTCTTCCCCATTCTTGCTTTCTGAAGGATTCTATACAAACAGTTGAGGTCCTATTTAGTAAACTACTAGAAACATGGGGAAGTGAACTAAGGAGATATGAACTATGAAATGATCTGTTTTAAGAAAATATATGGGAAAATCAGGTCTATGTTTCTGACAATCAAATGTATAATATATACATATATATATAAACAAATGCATATACATATGCATATGTGTATATGTGTGGGGGTGTGTGGCTTTTCTCATCACCTCTGTTATCACACTCATTCTAGTCCATATTAAAGAATATCATTTCCTGTTCTCTCCACCATGGCCCCCTGGTCCAAGCCACCATCTGCGTGCACCTGATGCCCGCATAACCTCAGCTGACCTTTCCTATGTCTATTCTTGTTCCTTTTGAGCCCAGTCTCCTCACTCGCAGCAGCGGAGCGAGTCTATTAAAAAGTGAAACAGAGAGAGGCAGCAAAAAGAACACAAAACAAACAAATAAAAAAGTGAAACAATGTCTGTCACTTGTTGGCTCAAAACTCTCCAATAGTTTCCTGATGGGTTAGAAGAAAATGTAAGTTCTTGTCATGGGGTACTATGTAGGTTTAGGTTCAGCTGTAAGTCACAGGGGGGAAAAATACACACACACACACACACATACACACACATATGTACACACACACACACACACACATGCCTTAAACAAAACACAAATTGTTATCTCTCTTGTGCTCACAAAGTCCAGAAGCCATGAGCCAAGGCTGGGGGCAGCACAGCTGCAGTAGAGACCCAGGCTTCATTTCTCTTTCTGTCCACTGTGCAGTTTGCATTTCCAGGGAACACCTCATGGTCCAAAATAGCTGCTATTGTGCCTGTTGTTACTAATGGTTCATTTTTCAGCCATAACATAGGGACAAAGAAAGGCAACTTCCTCCACTGAACTTCACTTCCTGGAATGTATAGGGACCACCCTCCTTTAACTATTAAATCGTAGAACCTAGCTGTGCCAGGTGGTGGGCGCCTGTAATCCCAGCCACTTGGGAGGCTGAGGCAGGAGAACCCCTTGAGTCCAGAAGGTGGAGGTTGCAGGGAGCTGAGATTGCACCACTGCACTTCAGCCTGGTTGACAGAGCAAGAGTCCATCTTAAATAAATAAATCTTAGAACCTGGTCACAGAGCCACACCCTGCTGTAGAAGAGGCCGGCAAAGGCAGTCCTTATTCTGGATGCTCAAGTGCCCAGGTAAACATCAGGACTTTTGCTCTTGAGGAAGAGACGGGAGAGTGGATGCCGGGGTCCAGCTCCAACCTGGGACATGCATGGCCTGCCTGGACCACATGGTCAGGACTCTGCCCACCTCCCTGATGCATCCCCCACCCTTTCCCACCCTCACTCTGCTCCAGCCACATGGCCGTCTCACCTCTGTTCTTCCTTTCACGCACCCAGCTAATTCCAGCCTCTGGGCTTTTGTGCTAGCTGTTCCCTTGCCTGGACAGCTCCTCCCCAAGTATTCTCTGGCCTCTTCCCTCACTTCACCCAAGTATCTGCTCCGAAGTAAACCTCCTGGGGGAGATTTCTCTGCTCACTTGGTCACCAGTAGTAGCCCCTGTCACTCTGTCTCCTCGCCCAGCTTTATTCTGCACCCTGACACTGGAGATCTGTTCTGCCATTTCAAAAAGGAAAAAAAGACAAGATATCTGCTACCCACCCTCATCTCTGCCTCACTGGACGCCTTGAAAGAAAATGGCAGTATTTAAAAAACAGTATGGCTCCTGAGGGAAGCTGAAAACTCAAAGAGAGTGGATATCCCAGAATTTCAAGCTGCAGATGACTTTTGAAAAGCAAAAACTTATTTTCTCGCCGAAAATTGGCAGTATATCCTTCCTAGTGATTTAGGCAGGAGGCAGCTGGAGAACACATGTTTAGAAGGTCTGTGTGTTAGTGGGCTAAGGTAGAGCTCTCCGCGTTAGACCTGAGAAGACCCTGGACTGCAAGGTAAGTTTAACCAACAGGTGATCTCGCTGCTGCGCTCAGAGCCCAACCTTGCGCACCCTTAGCTCAGGCGCGTGCGGGCAGCAGGCAAACGACATTCTCCTAGAGCTCCGGCCCTCAGGTGCCCTGGAGCCCAGAACAGAGGCGCAGCCGCCTTCTCAGCCTTAGGTGAGACTTGGCTCGCTATCCACGCAGCCACGCGTGGTGCCAGTAACCAGAAGGGCTCGTGGGTCGCTCTTCCGGACCTGGAAGCCTCCGCCTCTGCTACTCATGTGGGTCGGCTTGATTCTACCCGGGCCCCACGTGTGCATGATAAGAGCAGTGGTTAACAGCTGGTAAGTTTTTCATGTACTTCAGGCGCTGTGTTCTGTGCCTAAGGCACCCACTAAATTCCCTCTGAGACGGAGTAATCCCCGCTGTAGAGATGCGGGAGTGAGGTGAAAGGCCTTCTGGAGAGCCCAGTTCTGTTCTACACTCTTGTACCCACTCCCCAAACACCTCCCAACCCCTCCTAGCCATCCTCAAACCACATCGGACTGGATCTCAGGTATCTGTCGAGAGGATCCCACATTTCTGCCCACCTGGGGTGCCCTGCGAGCTTCTCTGTGAACACCTGCTCCCCCGTGGGCACAGCCTTGCTCTCAGGACCACTGGGTGGAAGGGAAACTGGCGCGGACCGCCCCTCCCTGGGATCTCCCCAATCTTTGTTTAACTGAACTGTAGTGAGGGAGGCATGGAACCCCATGGTTGGGAAAAAGAAGTGAAAAGAACCGGGCTTCCCATTCTCACAGACCCGCCAAGTCCTGGGGAGGAGGAAAGCAACGGACAGGACCCCTCAGCCACCTCCCCTTGACGCCGCATCTGCACGTGGTCCACGGAAGGTCCAGGTAGGAGATACCGTCCGTGGAGCCTAGCGTGGTCCGCCTTTCCAGAGCCCCCGCCGATCCCCGAATAAACCCCACGTTCAGCGTGTCCCCTCACCCCGCACCCAGAGAGGCCGCGCCACAGACGCCCTCTCCGCCCGGCCTCACCTGTGCAGGGAAAGGCGCAAAGCACCAGGCCCAGCGCGCCGCACCTGCCGGGGCAGCGTCCTCCCAGCGCATCGGGTCCCTGGTGCCCGCGGTCGTTGGTGCCAGGCGGGCTGAGTCCCCTCGGGTCCTCTTCGTCGCCGCTCCAGCTCCCGCGGCCGCCCGCGCTGGAGACCTCACAACTTTTCTGAACCGCCGCCTCCAGCTTCCGCCCTTCCCGGGCTCCAGGACAGTCCCCTGTGCTCCACCATCTGCACCGTGGCCGCCCGGATCCAGCGCCCGAGACCGTCCTGGGCGCAGGAGGAGCGAGCGCGGGCGGCGGGGAGGGGAAACCGCGCCGGGGCTGCTGCAGGCGGGCCCGGGGACCGAGAGGAGATGGGGCCGTTCTCGCGCGGGGCTGGAACTGTCTGTCCGCTTGGACCCGCTCCTCTGGCGCGGAAACTCCGCCTTCACAGACTCCCGCAGACTCTGGCCGGGAACCCGGGACGCCGAGAGGGGCCCAGCCCTTCCCCACCTCCCTCCTGGCCGGGGCTCTGGGCAGGTGGTCTGCGCTCCTCTTCCTCTCTAAACGGCGGGTCATATTTGCGGATGCCAGGGGAACTCGTGCCTTCCGAAATTAAAAATCCCATCCAGTGGATTCGGAATCGCCTTCCTGACACACCGAGAGGGAAAAAAAAGCAGCGTGCACGACGGTGTGAACCAGGGGATGTACACGCCTATATATAAACGGACGTGTACCTGCATTTATAAATATGCAGGGAAAGACTCGAACATGCGAAAACACACCAGACACTAATCACGGAATAAAGGGGAATCGTTCACGGTTTACCATTATTTACTTATTGAATTTTTAACACAATGAGCCCGTGCTAACGATTTAGGTGGAAGAGCCCCCCTTCTCCCCGCAGAACTGTTCCCGCAATGACAGGTTTTTAAGTTGGTTTCGTTTGGGCTTTGCACAATGGAGCAGGAGAAATACAAACCTTCCGTTTTCCCCCAGCCTTTCCCGCTGATTTGCACCCAGTGCCCTATCTCTTCTTTCATGAAAGTTGCCTCTGCCAGATTATTTCTGTTCTGACCTGATCTGCAGCGGATAGGAGTTAGAACCTGGCCACTCTCCTGACCCTGCCTCTAATGAATGAGCAGCACTCAGACCCCAGCCTCATCCCCCACCCCCACCCCAAAACCCAGGGCAGCACCCTCTGTGTCTGCTACCCCTGGAGGCAAGGCCCAGTCCCCCACGCACACCTAGGGCTGGCTCAGTGCAACCTCAGAAGGGAAGGCTGATTGCTAGCCAAGTGTCACAGCAGTCTCCCTCATTGTGGCACCCCAGGGAGTCCTGAGCCAGGAAGGCATTTCAAAAGAAAATAGGAATAAATCCTGTGATTAAATGACAATGAAAGAGATAGATGCTAGCAATGAAGAATCAATCTTTGTCTCCAAATTTGGGCACATGAAAATAACGCTCAACAGGACTAAGAGAAGAGGGTTGGGCTTGGACAACCCTCTCATCCTGGGAGTGTGCCCCTGATACGACACATTGCAGAGTTCTAGTCCCAGGCTGGGCTTGATGCCAGCCCATTGGTTTTCTTAGTTAGCTCCATTTGCTTGCAGTGGGGAGAAGACAGCTGTGATAAGATCTCAGCGAAGCCAAGGTGAGGTAGGAATAGCACTGGGTAGTCATAAGATGGAAAAACCCAAACAACAGCTGAAAGGAGAACTACACAAAGAAACCCGGGACAGCTGAAAACCCCAAAGAGGGAGTGAAAACAGCCAAAACCCCAGTCAGGGTGACAGGTCTGTGACTCTTCTGGGCAAACCCAATTAGGGGAGAAAGAGGGCACCAATGGGAGGGGTCCCTAAAATCACCTCTGCATTAGTCTGATCTCACACTGCTAATGAAGACTTTTCTGAAGCTGGGTAATTTATAAAGAAAAGCTGTTTAATGGATGCACAGTTCTACGTGGCTGGGGAGGCCTCACAATCATGGTGAAAGGCAAGGAGGACTAAAGCCACTTCTTACATGGTGGCAGGCAAGAGTGTGTGTGCAGGGGAACGCCTCTTTATAAAACCATCAGATCTTGTGAGACTTATTCACTACCAGGAGAACAGTGTGGGGAAACTGCCCCTATGATTCAATTATGTCCACCTGGCCCCACCCTTGACGTGTGGGGATTATTACAATTCAAGGTGAGATTTGGGTGGGGACACAGCCAAACCATATCATCCTTTTGTTCTGGAACATCTAATGATTGTTCAACTCCCTAATTAAAGAAACACTCATTAAATCTGAATGCTAGGTGGTCCCAGGAGAAGTTGGAAAATATGAAGCAGCAATTTCACATAACTGCAGGAAAGGAGCTGTCAGAATTAGCAACAAGGACAAAGACAAGCCTGGGCTGATAAGACCCCAACAAACAGAGTGGGGGACAAAGCTGGTTGAGACCAGCTGGATCTGACATGGTAATGGACTTGAACTTGACTTATGCCCTACCCTAGACCTAAGTGTACACTCATTACCATCCAAAATTGCAGGCCCACATGCACCGTGACATATTTAGTATAAAAATGGGTGGTATCCCAATTCTAAGAAGTCTGTACATTTTTTTAAGAAAAATCTCATGATTATTCTATCCCCTAATTAGAAGAGCCCATAAAATTACGAGCCAAAACTCTGCTGTGCTCTTCTCATTCTCCCGAGCATGCCTGCACTTCTCTCTTACATGTGTACTTTGCTTTACAGTAAAAGGTTCTTGCCTTTTGCTTTGCTCTGATTTATCCTCAAATTCTTTCTCGCTATGATGTCAAGAACCTGGACACTGCTGGGACTAGGGTCTCACTGGCATCCAGAGACCCTCCTGAACCCTCTGGCAACAAAAGGGTAGTTGCAAAATGTGAGTTTCAATAGGTCTGCATAGAAAAAAAGATACTGCTGAGAATTTCCCAAGACTCCTTTGACTTGTGTACCCTAGACATGACCTTGGGAAGTAGTTGCAGTTATAAAACAGATGCAGACTGTCTGGTCTTCCTAAAGCAGCAGAGATATGTCGTTTTCTCTCTTTCCTTCCCTCCCTTTCTCTGACACACACACACCCACACACACACACACACACACAGAACACAGACACACACACTCACTTAAATGTTGCTCTCCTCCTCAGTCCACTGAGAAATAAAACATAGGCCATTATTTCCAACTGATGGATTAGGACCTCACTCACCCTTCCTTCCGCCTACAAGAGAATATGGACAACGAAGCTGTCAAGTTGTGCCCAGAGTCCCCAGCTCTCCCTCTGTGTTTACTTGCTGGTTATCACTTGGTCTGAGTCAAAAGGCGGAAAAGCCATACTAGCAGCGATACTAGCCGATTATCTCTCTCCTGGGTCACTCTGCCCAGCCCCCATGTGAGTTCCCTGGAGTGTGACTAAATGGAGCAGTGCTTCCTGTCTCTCCAGTGGGGCAGGGCACGGTGTGCATCACAGGACCATGTGTTGCATGAATGACTCCTGGGAAGCCACACAGTGTAAGCCTCGTTTTAACAATGGAGAGACCAAGAGGCAGACATGTCAAAGTCATCTACCTTCCAATAGACCTGCAGATGCTCTTCTAGGCATAATACTTGAAGTAACGTACTCAGTCCTCATGGAAACCCTCAAAGTATGTACTCTCATAATGTCAGTTTTACACACAAGAAAATAAATGCTTAAAACATTATTTTAATGTTTTATTAATTATTAATTATTTATTAAATTAAATTAATAAAACATTAATTTATTAATGTTTTATTAATATTTATTTTAATGAAAATTAATGCTTAAAGAAGTCCAGTTACTTACTCTCTCAGGGTCACACAGCTGGTAGGTGTTGAAGCCAAGACTCCAACACAGATAGTCTAGTGTTAGAACTCACGTTTACTAGACAATATATTTATTTATTTGTTTGTTTATTTAACTAACTTACTCAGACACTGAGATGAGGCCTCAGTGTCTCCCAGGCTGGAGAGCAGTGGCACAGTCATAGCTCACCAAAGCCTTGATCTCCTGGGTTCAAGCGATCCTCCCATCCCACACTCTCAAAGCAGCAGGAGCTACAGGTGGGCACCACCATTCCTAGCTACTTTTTTATTTTTAGCAGAGATGAGGTCTCACTGTGTTGTCCAAGCTGGATGCTTTTTTCCCTCAGTTTTATTGAGGTAAAATTGAAAAATAAAAATTGTATATATTTATGGTTTACAGCGGGATGTTTTGATAGAGGTACACATTGTGAAATGATTACCACAATCGAGCCAATTATCATATCCATCTCCTCACCTAGTTACCATTGGGAAGGGCTTTGGACACATTTAAGATCTATTGTCTTAGCAGATTTTACCTACACAGTACACAATTGTTAAGGATAGTCACCATGATATCTAACAGAGCTCCTGAGACGTGTACCCTTTGACCCAGATCCCCTGTGACCTCTGCCCCAGTAGGCAGCTTGGAGCTCAGGTATTTCAGAAGTTGGTTCCAGCTGGACCACAGGACACATCACTGGTCTCTGTTGACTCCCACTTGCTAGCACATTTGTGTCAAGTTTCACTTGCTTCAACTTTTTTAAGTAAACAAAGACAATTTTTTTTTTGTAACATTTATTTTGTAACTTAACAATACCGAAAAGCCCCTATACCCCTGTGCTGTTCTGGGGTCAATGCTTTCCAGTAAACCAACCTCTATAGAAACTGATTTTCCATGAAAGGTAGGAGGAACCCAGCTTCCCCAGGTAAGATGCAGTTGTCTTTTTTTTTGAGACGGAGTTTCGCTCTTGTTACCCAGGCTGGAGTGCAATGGTGCAATCTCGGCTCACCGCAACCTCCGCCTCCTGGGTTCAGGCAATTCTCCTGCCTCAGCCTCCTGAGTAGCTGGGATTACAGGCACGTGCCACCATGCCCAGCTAACTTTTTGTATTTTTAGTAGAGACGGGGTTTCACCATGTTGACCAGGATGGTCTCGATCTCTTGACCTCGTGATCCACCCGCCTCGGCCTCCCAAAGGGCTGGGATTACAGGCTTGAGTCACCGCACCCAGCTGCAGTTGTCTTTCACCTTATGAGATCAACTTTAAGATTGTTGCCCAAATACCCATTCTTATCACTTGTCCCCGCTCCATCCCGATCTCTTCATGAACGATCATGCAATCATCATCAATATCATTTCTTAGCCCATTCTCTCAGTTTCAAGGTCAGCAAATTGTCTATTTAGATGCCCTGCGGCTTAACATGGCTTAATAAAGATTTGTATTAGATTACAAGTAGAATGAACTCAACTTATATTACAAAGAGAATCCATTCACCACACTGATAGTCCCTTTATTCAAGTTGTGTACTTAACCATAATAACTAGCACTAGTATAAGTGCTTATAAACAATGAACACTATTTCAAGTGTTTTTTACATGTATGAACTCATTTATTATTATTATTTTATTTTGATTTATTTGTTTATTTTTGAGACGGAGTCTCAGTTTGTCGCCCAGGCTAGAGTGCAATGGCACAATCTTGGCCTACTACAATGTCGGTCTCCCAGGTTCAAGCAATTTTCTGACGTCATCTCCCGAGTAGCTGGGATTACAGGTACGCATCACATCAAACTAATTTTTGTATTTTTAATAGAGACGGGGTTTCACCATGTTGGCCAGTCTGGTCTTGAACTCCTGACCTCAAGTGATCCCAATATGCTGGGATTTCAG